AAAATTAATAAAAATTAATAAAAATTAATAAAAATTAATAAAAATTAATAAAAATTAATAAAAATTATTAAAAATTAATAAAAATTAATACAAATGAATAAAAATTTAAAAAAAAATGAATAAATATGAACAAATATAAAAAATGAAAAAAATTATTGAAAATCAATAAAACTAATAAAAATTAATAAAAAAGGAAGTCATGTATTTTTTTATATTAATAACACGACAATAAGCGAGCAAAGCCGCGGGAAATAGCTAGTAAATTATATGGAAATATAATATGGAACTTTTTCCACTCCCCAGTATGCTCTTACTTAATAATATGAATTAAAAATAAAATTTTTCACTTTTCTCAAATTTCTCCATTACGATTAATGTTATACTGGGTGTTAGTATATTCGACCGACAACACTTTACCACAGAGGGCCCTAATATGATACAAGGTGTCAAAAGTTTTAAATCAGAATTTAAAATTTGCTATAAATTTACCAAGATCTTGTCAAATACACGAACTATTCAAAATTTAACACTAGCTTACTAGATTAGAATTTAGAATTATTGAGTCGTTACAAATTGTTCAAGTACATGTAGACTTTTATTTGAGAGAGAGATTCTTAGTTTTTTTAACGAAAAATGAGAGCAAATTTATGTCTTCTCCTATAATGACGGCGGTCCTCTCATGTTTGGTTTCTTCGATAGTTGTTTCTATAATAACATCAGCATTATCTCTCGCTTTTATTGTTGTGATATTTACACTCTCTAACTTTTCAATGGTCATATCAATAAGTTTTTTTTATTATATTGATTTGACAAAAACTTATGTTGGCTAATTGGAACAATCATCGTTTCGAAGAAAAAGATTTCATAAGATTTCGAAAGAACAGCATTTCTTCTTAGTTGTTCCATCTCTTTTATATTTTAAGTGTAGTCTGAGTATCCGTCAAATACCACAACAGGTTTTGGCCCATAATGTCTCTGTAAATAAATGATGTATTTATTTAAAATAACGGAAAAAGTGTCGTCTCTCCATACGATGCGATGCAGAAGAAATCCACCATCGTTGATATACGAGTGTTGCCACAGTGTTGCCACAAGCTTCTCCTCTATTCTCCGCTACAGATAACCAAATTCTCCGAATTCACTCGAGATTCTCCGCTCCGCTCAGGACAGACAATGACTAGAAGCGTTTATAATTCGTTTCCCATCCCGCATGGAGCAAAAAAACCCACGGAAATCTAGTTCTTAGGCTAGCTCAGCTAGATACTAATGCGCATGCGCAGTCAGAGTTGCATACTTTTGAAAATTGATGCAGGACCAAAAAATAGTTTTTACCCATGACAAAACACTGTTCTGCACCTCTGATCAACGCAAAAAGTGCCGAAAATACACGAGATTCTCCACTGACAAAAATTCACCAGTCACAAGTCAACTGTCAACGCCAGGCGGGCAAATTCTCCACAAAATTTTATTCTACGCCAAATTCTCCGTACCTCACATACTTTGATTTTCTTTTACTATACGGAGAATGGTCGCACTGCGCAGCTTTCTGAGTGCCTTTTAAAAGGAGATAGAAAACTCCGCCATTTGAACCCTTATTACGTGTTGCCTACATCTTGGCGCAATATTTTTAATAGGTGCGTTTTAATCATCCGCTTCTGCTTAGGAATTCTCGGTTTCCTTGTTTTAATCTGACAGTTTAAAACGACTAAACCGACAATTCCGGAAGCAGTAGCGGATGATTAAAACGCACCTGATATTTTGCTTGCTGCTGTCAGTGTCAGTTAATATTATTTTGGAGTCACAGTTTATTGCTAAAGAATCAGTTAGCTCCACTCCAGGGATACAAATTCAGGATACGCAGAAGACTGCTGTTTTATTATAGGTCGTTGTTATATATTGTATTATCCGAGTTTCGCAGTGTATAAACTGGAACATTGAGATCAAAAGTGCCGACGCTTAGTGAGCGGTCTGATTCTTTAGCTATATACTGTATCATAGGAATCAAAATGGCCGCGCCCTATGTTGGGCGTGTCGGTCCTCTCTCTTGCCCCGTATAGTAATCAAAGGGTAAGTTCGGTTTGGAACTCGACGGATCGCACAGAGCGCGCACGGAGTGCGTGACGTCATAGACAGAGTTCACTCTTTTTAGAATCTAAAGACGAACACAAGGGGAATGACATGTGACACTAGTGATAGTTTGCACTTGAATACACTTTTGTGTGTGTCTATGGACTAAAAAAATAATTTTAATCAAATAGAAAATAGTTATAACAGAAACAAACAAGAAATATTACGTGTAAAACTGATTAATCACCGATCAGAAAATTGACATTTGACATTTTTGACACATTCCTACAGATACTCGCTGATCTCCATCGGCCAACTCAATACAATAAAATGACCCCCTTCATACTGGCCGCAATCAGAAATTAGTCTCTGGCCGCCATGTTATGGGGATTATGTTTTGGCTACACTGATTTTTAGTTTTCGTGTTCTGTAATAGGCATGAATGACATACGATAGAAATAGGTGAACACCTCTATGAATAAGTAAACTATCTTGATAAGTAACTATAATATTTTAGCACAGAGTTTGTTTTGTCGGAACACTAACAAACCAAAGGATAGGCGAGGTGAGAGGGAGGTTGTTTACATTACATAAGCGTATCATAAATTTATTTTAATATTGCTAGGAATATTATTGAGGTTTGTTTAGAATTAAATGTCAGTGGAACCAAAATGACATCACACCGAACTAGCGTATTAGAACAGACAAATGGGGGGTATCATTGTTTACAGAATTTCATGCTGAATTTAAAATTTAAAAAAATATAGAGTATTCTATTCAAAATAAAGTTAGTGTCGCACAGATTTCATTTTATTTTAATTTAAAAGAGCATATTTGATTATGTATATCCTGAAATCGGCGAAAATACAATAGTAGTTTGTGCGACACGATTGGATATGGACATTCCACTCGAGTTGTACAGTATATTTTTCTTATACCCACTAACGAAAATCTATAAGTATTAAAAATTATTGTTAAAATAACTAATTTAAAAATTATTTATGACTTTTACTAATTTATAAAATAAATTAAACAAGAAAAAAGATTTAATTTAGTGCAGATAAATTAATTTTTTCTACACCCACATGGATATTAGCTTATCTACGCACAGACTACAAAACGAAAAAGTATGACATTGCATTCAACTGAACGAATATATTTCATATCCATTCTAACTACTAAGAACACTGCAAAAAGAATGAAATCCACCAATCACAGTTCATATTTTAGTCATCCGGCTACTATTATTTTAAATTTTATATAAGTATATTTTTTTAGTTATCAGGATTAAATATACGTAAAAATAAGTTATTCTTGTAATTAAATATTTAAATATACAGGGTGTTTCATAATATATGCGCAGGACTTCAGAAAGTCATAGCTCATCCAAAAATATGTAAAACGTTTTTATTAACTTACCCTCTAAAATGCACCATTTTCAAGATATAGCGTGTTGAAATTAAAAAAAAAAATTCTACGCCACTGGATAAAGTACGGTTTTGAGACGCCCATTTGAACCGCCAATGTTTTCTACACAAAAAAGGTACTTTTGGTCATACGCTCTAAAGTCGACCGTTTTCGAGAAAAATCAAATTTTGTTTCATCAAGTTGGTTTTAAATTTCAAAATTTTATTTTTCTCGAAAACGGTCGACTTTAGATAGTATGACCAAGAGTACCTTTTTTGTGTAGAAAACATTGGCGGTTCAAATGGGTGTCTCAAAACCGTACTTTTTCCAGTGGGGTAGAATTTTTTTTTTTTATTTCAACACCCTGTATCTCGAAAATGGTGTTTTTTAGAGGGTAAATTAATACAAACGTTTTTTCATATTTTTGGACGGGCTATCACGTCCTGAAGTCCTGCGCATATATTATGAAACACCCTGTATTTCTATTTTTATTCCGTCCACATTTTAACTATATGAAACTAATTTAATTACGAGTATTATAACTAAATGGTAAGCGTGGCGATGATGATGAGAACACGACGTTTGGCTTCCATGCGAGAGGCGCGGGTTCAAATCTGGGTTGGGGACTAATTAAATTAAATGCTTTTTCTTTCATGTTTATTTTATATTATAAATTGGTAAAAGTCATAAATTATTTTTAAATTAGTTATTTTGTCTTAACCTAAAATAATTTTTAAAATTTGTAGATTTTCGGTAGTGGGTCGTAGAAAGTCGTCGAAAAAATATACTGTACAACTCGAGTGGATTGTCCATATCCACTCTTGCTACACAAACTACTATATTCTCCATAACGTTTTAATGACCGCATACGTGTACTTTAACACATTTTGTATGTCATAAAAATGGAAAGTTAAAGAAACAAATAAGAAAATTTGTTGAAAATACCAAGAAAAAATAAAAAAACAAGCAAAGGAAGTGCGACAATTCGTAGAATAGTTAATAATCTCAATGCTTTTTGTTTGCTTTTTTTGTTTTTGCTATTTCAATAATTATATTGCAAGATATTAGCAGTTACATGCCTTTGTTACGTCACATGCATTAACAAAAAATGTACACACTCATATACACTAAGATAGCTACAGAATGTACGTAATTATAATTGAGTGGCGTGCTAAGAGTAGATCGAAGAGGGATAAAACAAGCAATATTATAATTTACATAATTTAAGCAGTGGTATTCTCAAATTCCCTGTTATAAGTTTTTGAACTTCTGAAAAAACTCTCAGATGCAAAAGTTGTTTCTTAGAGATGAATTATGAAAAGAAGCAACATGTTAGCCATCCCTTTCTTCCTCTAGCTGCCAGTCTATATGTTACCCAATTGTGGGCGGGATTGTTACTTTCTTTCTTAATATCTTTAGTTTTCAGTTAATATGTTAATGTTTCCTTATTTTAAGTGTCAAAATAAGTATATATCTTAATTTCAATGCATAATAAGCTGTGAAAAAATGTATTTACTTCATTTCAGGCATGTACGATGGCCAAGAACACACTCCAAAGTTACTCCAATGCTCACATACTGTCTGCTTGCACTGCCTAACTCGAATAGCCGCCTCTCAGACTAGAGACACCGGAACGTTTCGATGTCCAATATGCAGAGAACTCATACACATACCTCGCGGAGGGGTATCCGCCCTTCCGCCGTCTTTCCTTGTCAACCAACTCCTGGATTTGATGTCCAGGCAAAGGAGAGAAGTTATACCCAAGTGTTCTGTTCATATAAATCAGGAATTGTTGTTTTGTGAGACCTGTGATACCGTTTTTTGTACGCTGTGCACGGGGGGTTCCCATAATGATACTGCCTCCAGTTGTGAACATACCATAATACCGTTTTCTATAGCTATTAAAAGGATGTCGGAGATTTTGTTGTACAAGGCAAATGAGTGTATATCTAAGGTAAGATTTTCCACAAAAAACTACTCCTTTTTTGTTTAATATTATCTGCTTCTCTAGGGATCCAAAACTAAGTTCGAAGCGCGTCCTAATACACTCGCCGGTACTACTATTTTTAACAAGTTTTAAAAAACTGACTTCAAAAACGTGCAGATGCCATCACCACATCTTAACTAAATTTATGTGGGACCACCCCTGAGGTACCCCAGAACTAAAAAAAAAGAATCCTATAAATCGGACAAGGTGGTAAAGCATTATCGCTAAACATACATAAATAATGAAAAGTTTGAGGATTTTCTCATGGACCCAATTATTAGATTTGGACCAAATTTATATGGGACCACCCCTGAAGTACCCCCTTTCTAACAAAAAAAGAATCATTGAAATCGGACACCGTGTTAAAGAATTATCGCTGAACAAAAATATCGCGACGAATTGAGAACCTCCTCTTTTTTAAAGTCGGTTAAAAAAAACTACACTGAAAATCACTATAATAAATTATTCACTGTTCTACTTGTCTGTTAATAAAAATCATGTACAGATACGGAAATTTAAACGCCAAATATGTTAGATACGAGTACGAGTGTAAGTGGGATTAAGGTGTTCCGTGCTGATCAGCGGTCTTTGTTTCACACATGGTCCTATTATACCTTGTTCAATTCATTGTAAAATAGATAGTTCGCGTTTGGATTTACGTACCTGTATATTACCAAATTAACCCGTAATTCACGAAAATGCAATCAAACACCTATCAATTCAGTGTTAATGTGTTTTGTGTTTAAATAAAAAAAAGTTGTAATTGAAATAAATCAAAATATAAATTATATATTATGGATATGATGGTAATAATTCACTATTAGAGCATATTTTTTTACTTACTAAAAAACTATCAAATTTTAAAGCTTATTAAAATAATTAAAAAAAAAACTTTTATTAATTTTTAAAATAAAAGAAACTTAACAAAATAGGTACTTCTTTAGTAGAATGAGATTTCTGAACAGAAACTCATTACTGAAACTTTTGCACCAACAAGTCATATTTAAATGTTACTTTAACATTTATAATTGAATTGGCATTTAGTGATTTTTATCAAAATTTACTATAGGTGTTACTATATTCGACCGACAACACTACCACAGAGAGCTCTCGTTAATTGATGAATTTTGATATAGGAACATGCAAGAGGCTTAGTTTGAAATCATAATTCAAAATTTACTATAAATCAAATTTGGTGACCAATATCCTCTTTAAGAATGTAATATTTTGGCATAAACTCACTTTTGAAAAATTTAATCAGTAGCGCTTATTAGAAATTTGTATCCCCCTATTTTTTACGCCACTGGAACAAATATTTGTTTTAATTCTCTGTTCACTTTTAGTTAAAAAAGTAAATTGCCTTTTATGGAGCTATGATGAACGGCGTAGAAATTCGCATCTAAACAAAAGTCTGCAAGTACTTAGATAATTTGTAACTATTCAATATTTCTAAATTCTAATCTAGTAAGCACGTGTCAAATTTATCGATTTAATTTAGTTTTACTAGTTTACCTTAATAACTAAAAAATATACTAACAATTTGACACATTGCCACTTATTTTATATAAAAAGGAATAATTAGGAAAAGGAGGAAACTGCAGTACACTTATTGTGCTACTATGAAGGTCTATCAAGACAGATTCCGTACACTTAGAAAAGCAAAACCAAAACCTATACGCTGGAGAGCTACTTGCTAGTGTATGGTGTCTACTATAAAATATCAAACTAGACAAGGTACTCTCACCAATGATTAAAGGGTATCCACAATAGATCTAAAAAGGTCGAAGTAGAGGAGAATACATGGCCCATAGCTCACAGTGCTAACCAAATCTACTCCAGCCGGGAGAACTGTGGAGGATTTCATATATACAATAGATATAAATATTATAACTGTTCAGTAGATTGATATAACCGATAGATATATTTATTCTGTAGTTTAATTTACTCTTTCGACGCTCTCATTACTTATTTTCTTCACAAAATGCAAAATGGATAAGTAGGCAATATCAGTCTACTTAAATATGATTTTTATATCCATTTTTAACTGACTTCAAAAAAAGGAGGAGGTTCTCAATTCGTCGCGATATTTTTTTTATGTATGTTCAGCGATAATGCTTTACCACCTTGTCCGATTTATATGATTCTTTTTTTGTTAGTAAGGGGGTACCTCAGGGGTGGTCCCATATAAATTTAGTTAAGATGTGGTAATGGCATCTGCACGATTTTGAAGTCGGTTTTTTTAAATTTTTAATTTCTAATACTTGTTATAGTATTTAATGATATGAAATCCAGCAATCACAGCTCACGTTTTCAAATTAATTGAATGTGGTCTTTTGGTTCAATTTTATTTAGTCAAGTATGAAATTACTAGAAACATCCAATATGGCTGATTTTATATTTTTTTATCGTTTTATTTTTCTATTTAGTTATCACAAGCTCAAGAAGGCGTCAGTGCTGAACTAGGACAATTAGATTCGGCCAGAGAGGCATGTTTAGAAAAAATAAATGAGACATTCCAACAAATTCAAACTTTAATGGACCAAAGAAAACAGGAAATTGTAGACACCGTCAACGCTATATGTACAGAGAAAAAACGAGTATTGGAAGAGCAACATACACTTATTGAAAATGAGAAAAATAAGGTATGCATTTAATTTATTTTGGATGGTTTAAACTAGAGATGTGAACAATAATCCATTTAGAAGAATGATGTAATAATATTCCGATAACATTAATAATTCTTTTCATTCCATTACCAGTGTAGCTACTTATTGTTTACTGATGGAATCGATGATTCAAAAGCAAAGCAGTTGCACTTATTTTGGCAGTAATAAAACATTGTGTACTTTTAGAGGTTATCATGAAATTTAGTAAAATAAGTCTCTTTCTCCAGATGGAATCATATAAGTCTGTTATATTTAATTCAATTTTAAAATTTCATTGCACTTTAATTATGTAGGATTAGGTTAGGTTAGATTGAAAATGAGTACAGTTAAAATACTGTGCGTTTTCGAACACCCGGCCTGAATATTGGTGGCCGGTTAAAGTGGGATTCAAGGCTTCATTAATACCCACTAAAAAACCCACTTCTTTCGTAGATCCCACTCCTGGAACTGCCCCATTGGTATCATAGGGGCGGTACGCGGTTTCATTTCATTTGGAGCTCTAGCCCCTAAAAACCCGTTCCTCTACCTCTTTCAATCTCAGGATCTCTGCAATGAGTAGATGATCTTTCTCCCAGTTTAATTCCCTCATCATTCCTTGGGAGTCATATCAGATATTGTAGCCTCTATTAAATTTATCTCCTTTCTCCATCTCATACAACAGAAACGGATGATGGTATGTTCCGCATCATGTACTTCTTCTTCACAGTACCTACACCGGCTGTCTGGTGTCTTTCCAATACGATGGGTGTAGGTGCCAAAACACCCATCTCCACTCAAAAACTGAGTCTTGTAGAAGTCAGTTGTCTTAAATTGACACTAGCCACGCCTCCAGGTCAGATCTATGAGCTCGAGTTCTGCTTATCTTTGCATCAAACTTCAATGGTTTCTGTCTTTGTTCCCTTTTGTATGTCTATGTTGGCCTCCTAATTCTGTACAGCCTACCCCTCTCCTCTACTTAGAAGTACGAGGGTCAGTTAATAAGTAAAGAGACAAATGGCTATAGCTCAAAACCGGTTTATTTTAATCTTTCAAAATTAAGCCACTTTTGCACCGCTTCCTTAACTTCCTCATTGTTAGCAAATCTTTTTCCACGTAGGTCGGGACTGTAGGTAGGATGAGGTAAGACCTCCCAACCCAATTCTTGAAGCTCATCACGAGTGAGCTGGGCTGTATGAGGGCGGGCGTTATCGTGCTGAAGAATGACTCCTTTTGACAATAGTCCACGTCGTTTGCTCCTGATAGCTGGTCTAACTTTGTGTTCTAGCATCTCAATTATTCTGTTATCACGAATAAGTCCGTCAATCCTCGATTCCAACGAGGTACCAGAAACTTCCACTGGACGTCCACATCGGGGTTCATCACCTACACTTGTTCGGCCAAGGGGAGTGAGACTGAGAATGACTTCCATGGCCCTGGTAGGTGTTGTTTTCATGGCTCCTGTTATGTTGAGACATGCTGTTCTTTGAATTTGTTCTAGTTTACGGATGTCTGTTAATTTTTGGGTTTTCGGTACCCAGACAACTGCACCGTATGTTAGCACAGGTCTTATGATAGCCGTGTAAGTCCATGCGACGGCATTGTTCATAAGCAATGTATGCTCTTTTAACTCTATTTTCTAAATGCGAGTTCCATGTTAACTTGCTGTCAAAGGTGAGACCTAGGTACTTCATATCTGTTGCAAAGTTTAGTTTTGTGTTTTAGGAGTTCAGAGGTTTTAATTCCATTTTCATCCTTTTCCTTGTGAAAAGGACCATTTCTGCCTTCTTAGGATTGATAGACAGTGAATGGTCCTTGCACCACTGTTCGATAATTTTTAGAGCTACTTGTATTCGTTCTCAAAATTCCCTGTTTGCAGAATGACCAGGTTATCTGCATATGCTATTGTGTAGTGACTGTCATTATTTAGGCGGCTGATGAGGGTGTCGAGGACCATATTCCACAGTAGAGGTGATAGCACCCCTCCCTGTGGACATCCCCTCGCAACCAAGCCTCTTATATTCACATCTTCTATACTTATGTTTACTGCTCGCTTTGAGAGCATATTATGTATCCACCCACTAACCATTTGTGGAACATGCCTGTTGGTTAGTCAGTGTATTATCTTTGGGAAGGTGGTTTTATCAAAAGCACCTTCTATGTCTATGAAAACACTCAAGGCGGACTCCTTATTGTCCAGGGATCTTTCTACCCGGCCAGCAACTAGATGAAGGGCTGAATCAGTAGATCTGCCTAGGGTGTATGGATGTTGGTTTGGGTGTAGTGGTGTTGTTGTAATCACCGTATCCATTATGTACCTTTCGCATAGCCTTTCCAATGTCTTCATGGAAAACGATGTCAGACTAATTGGTCGGTATGTTTTTGGGGCAGTGTAATCCATCCTTCCAGGTTTGGGTATAAATACCACTTTTACCTCTCTCCATTTTTTGGGGATATGCCTCAAAGCCAACGAGGATCTGAATATACCCACCAGGTGCGGTGTGAGTTCTTCCAGACCCCACTGAAGTAGGGCTGGGTAGATACCGTCAGGTCCTGGCGATTTAAATGGAGAGAAGCTGGATATTGCCCATCTAATTTTTCCATCGTCTACAATGTGTTTGGCAGCTTGCCAATCATAGACAGATGGATTGTATTCTTCCTCTCCACAGTCCGCCACGTCTGTGATGACCGAGCCAGGGAAGTGTGTTGACAGTAGAAGTTTGATGCTATCTTCGAGGTTGGCAGTTTTCGTGCCATCCTCTTTGATTAGCGCACCAATGCTTCGGTGTGGATCTTTTGAGAGAGCTTTTTGAAGCTCCCTGCCTGCGGGAAATCTTCGATTTCTTCGCAGTAGGATCTCCATGCATCTCTCTGTTTTGTCTGACGATTTTTTTGTATTCTCTGAGGTGAGATTTGTAAGTATCCCAGTCCTCTTTGAGTTTTATGGTTCTTGCCTTATTAAATGATTTCCTAGCCATCTTCCTGAGGTGATCCAACTCGTGACACCACCATGTCGTCTGATCGTGTTGGACCAGCCTCATAGGACATGATTTCTTATAGGCATTGTTTATTGTGCTTTGGATAGTATTCGTGTACTTTTCCAAAGCAGTGTTATTGTTTGGTGTTTCGGCCTCCTTCTCTCTCAGAGCCTCTTGGAGAAGGTGGGCATAGGTTGCCCTGTCCGTCTTCCTATGGTTCCGAGATAGCGTGGAGGTCGGCAACATCAAGTTTATTTTGAATGTTAACCAGCGGTGGTCTGACATCGAAATGTTATCAGACACTTGCCAGTTTAGAATTGATTTATTGATACCAGTTGTGGATAAAGTAATATCTATTAGTGTTTGACTGCGAGAGTTTAAAAATGTTGGTGTGGTACCTTCATTTAAAATATTTTTGGTAATTATATAATCATAAAGTGACTTACCTCTAGCGTTGTTATCCTTACTGCCCCAACTGAAGTGATGAGCGTTTGAGTTGCAACCTATTACCAACTCAAACTTCTGTTTCAGGCAGTATTCAATCAGATCCTCCATCTCTTTGCTGGGGTGGCGTCGGAGGGGAGGTATGCAGATGCCAGGATTAACGTTCTCTTTTCCCTTTTGATGTCGTATTCCATCCTAACCGCAGTTAAATCGGAAGTGGAAAGGTGTGCCATTGAGTGGGCTTTGTATTTCCTAGAAATGTAAATGGCTGTCCTAGGTTGTTGGTTGCTGGGGAAGCTAAAAATTGAACCATTTAGATTTTTAAGACCTAAAATTTTGGTTTCTGGATGAGTGCTATTGTATCTTGCAGCTCATCAAGGCGACGGCATAAAGTTGCCGTAGCCACCCTTTTGTGCTGCAAGTTACATTGTATAAACTTTACCTCTTTTATTGCTTCCCGGTCCTCCGTTGAAAATTGGGCAGTAAGGTGGTTAATTATTCGACCATCCTTTCCTCCGAAAGTGGGGAGGGGGTGGTCTCTTGTGGCTCCTTAGAGTTTTCTTGTTGGAAGTCATCGATTACCATTTTTTCTTGCTCGACGTCCTCCACCGTTGCCGTAAATTGGGGGGAAGAGGGTCTCCTTTACCAAGGAGTCTTCACTGGGACCCGCGTCAGCCTCTTTTTCGATCTTGGGCCTTATAATCAATGAGGTGAACGCATAGCTCATCCTCATTGATTTGGCCTTTAGGGTTCCCATGTCTTCGTCTGCGATGCAGAAGACGAAGAGATGGCCCTTAGGGTCTTTTTTGATTTCATGGTGGAAGGCACACCATTTCGCCACATGCAAGTTTGGGTTTTGCCCCTCAAGTCGCCTGGGCACAACCTCTTTCTCTTCAAGGTCAGCTTGCGCTTCCCCTGGGATCCAGAGAGAGGCTTTGGTGACCTTGGGGAGCTCGTCCATCCTTACAACTGCGAGTGTTGCTCCTTCCCATGTTTTTAAGGTCGGTACCTTGGTTTTTAGCCATTCCAACGTCAGGTCATCGTCGCAGGTTACTCTGATGATTTCACCAGAATGCGACCAAGACCTGAATGTGGGAGGCTTGATTTTGCTGCAACAGGCGGACAAGATTGTTTTGTCCAGCTCTCCCATCAGTGTCTTTTTGACAAGGATTTATCTTTCAGTGGTTATCTTACCGTAAGGGTTATCCTTGTCTATTATAGCTACTTTCAGGTGGCTCGTAGCTGCATCCTTGTAGCTTATCCCAAACAGAACTTTGTGGTCCTGTCTGGGTTTTTTCCTCTTCCGGGGCGTTACCTAGGAAGAGGTGTGAGATCGCGGCCTTTCCTTGTCCCTAGTTGCGTCGTGTTTCTGGCCTCTTTTGGAGGCAGAACTAGCGTCGCTGTCTAGGGACTTGATTAGGCCACTTTTTTTGGAGTGAGGGAGTTTGCTGAGGGTGGAGGTTGCCGTAGCACTGCCTGCCTGCAGCTTATCCCTCTTCCTCCTCTTTGCTTCAGACCCAGGGATTCTTTTGCCTCTCGGGAGCCTGTTAGTTGGAGGTGAACTACTGTTTCCATCCT